CGCGGGCACCCGCGGCGCGCCCCGTGGCCGCGCGGTCCAAAATGGGGAACGCACTCAGACAGAACTGCTTAAATTTCCACGCCCGCTTCTCTGGTGTCATCGCGGGCTGACTGGGCCTCGCCAGAGGTTCCGGCTGTGGCTCTTTCCTGGCGAGGATGCGCCCCGCGCGTTTCAACGTTGCCCGGGGCGTCGGGGGAGCAGGCAGCTGGCTGGGACAAACAGATTTGAACCGAGGGTGCCTGCGGATTTGCATAGAACACGGCGCCCGCAGGCTCAACCACTTGGCGGCGACCCTGAGTCTTGGGGGGGACTGCTACGACGCCATGGTTTCCCTGCCAACCTTCCCCGGGGAAACCAAACATATGGATCATGATGCGTTTGTCTGCCCCTACCTCGTAGACTCTCGACTGGCTGCCGTCGAGCGCCTTCCATGTGACCGCGTCACCTGGCAAATCAAGAGCCATGCCGAGTTGCCCGAGCATCCCCGCTGGGAGTAGCAAAGGCGCATCGCAGGCAATCTAATGCAAAGCAAAAGTACCGCAGTTCTTCGCCACAGCGATAGGTACTGTCCGGCAGGAGATAAGCTTGTAGATCCCCGCCATCATCTCCTTGATATCCGACGAAAGGCGAGGAGTAACTCATGTCATGGATGCGATGGCCGCCTTTGCCAAGAGGTAGGGGTCGTTCAAACTTCCGAAGCTTTTCGCGCGCCAAATCAAAATCGCATGATCCTTCTGTCCAGTGCTCAACCGTCTCCCAAGCAGCGACATTAAGCTTGGATTCTCTCACAAACATGTACCAACACGCGCGATATGATTGACCGAGGGTTCCTCTCGCTTACGCTTGGCGTCTTCTGAATAGAAGGGCTTCTCCACAACCTTCGGAATCCCGCGGTCCTGGTACGCGGCAAAAAAACCTGCTGGATGTGTTGCATCGCAACCTGCCCGCCGTCCCCGGCAAACAACTGGTCCTGACCGAGTTTGATATTAATGACCTTGCGGCTGTCTTTGGCAGAACGGTAGATGAGGTATCCGCGCTGTGTGTTCAAAGTTCTGGTATTTGCGAGCCACATCTGCAGCTCCTTCATGTATGGGGCCTAGGCGAATATCCGGATATTTCCATCCCAAGTGGGAGGTAGGTCGTTTGGCATGGGGCCTCTGATTGTTCAGGAAATTGCTCCCGTCGGCGATCAGACGATCGGGCAGTGGTATCTCCCCACTATAGGTCAGAGAAAAAGAGCTAAAAGGCATAGCCTGTCCTCGCATAGGGGTGCTCTGCCCATCTGGTGCAGCCGGCGAACCCCGCCCCCGCCCAGTCCAGCCCGATGACGATTGTTGCGTATTGGGCTGTCTCCGTCCATGGCTGTGAGAACCAGCGGGCCCCATCCTGATCTGACCCGCCCACATCTTCATCACCTTTTCCAAGGAACGTCTTGTCGTGCTCCAGCTCCTGCCCAAGGATCCTGATCTGGTTGTAACCGAGGATCTGCTGGAAATTCGTCCTGTTGAAGCTGAGCGTCGTCTGGAGAGCCCATAGCGGCGCTCGGTGCACTGGGGTATAGAGCAGGAATAACGGGATTGGATAGGGTATGTCACCTGAGAATCGAATGACAAGGGAGTCGTCCTGACTCACCCCGTGGATCTCAACCACAGTCTCCGCTGCCACTGTGGATTGTACGTGTGTGGCTGTATGGACACAGAAAGACACGAAGCACGAATAAGGGGACCCGTGCTAGAAGAGAGCACGATTTCTTTCCGTTTACGGACGCGTGGGCGCGACCGTCAACGGCGCGCCATGATAGCCCAAGCGCCCTTGTGAGCCGATATGGTGGTGCACAAAGGAGTACAGAGGGAGGCGCAGGAGGAGGAGAGGCCGACAGGGGCTCTGCAACCAAAGGTTGACCTTCTGGTGTTGCAGATGGGCGTGCCCGTACACCACATCCTACTACAGCGTGTTGCCGTCCATGGGCGATGCACGGTATGCTCGTGCCGTGAAGACCTCGGCGCAAGTTTCTGACGCCGTCTGGACCGTTCGTCCTTGGACGACCGAGGCTTTCCGACAATGCAGATCGTTCCATATCGGCTGGTTCCCGGCCACTGACGGCGTTACGTCTTGAACGCCCGCGCTGGGGTCGCCGCCACGTCTGCACGACGCGAACCTGCCGTACTGCTGACATGAGCGATGCACCGATGCTGCGCTCCCACGGCTGCCCCGCTTGCGGCCCTAAAGTAAACGGAAGAAGCACCCCCAAAGTAAGCACTCAACGCCATTTAAGTAAGCGCGCTCGAGGGAGGACTCAGACAGGATTTATGCTCAATAGACGCGAAGCGCTGTCCAGTAAACGCCACCTGTAGGGCCCAAGGTCTTTCTTCCTTGGAGGCGGCTGGGGGGTCTGCACTGGATGGGCTCCGAGAAACCGGTCAAGACAGGAGGAGATGGAGGAGAATCTGGTCAAAATCGGTCCCCAGAACCCTCCAAGGAAGAAACTAATAAGTTCCACCCCTACATCCTACATGGGATTCTCGCTTTCTCTGGAAACCCCGCGCAGGCTTCACCTCACACACACACACTCTCCTCATCTTCTCCTTTCACACTATTCGCTATAGTCATCGCTGTTACCATCGCAGCAGCATTCTTTATATGGAAGGAAATCCCGCGCGGGAGCCTCGTGCGTGAGTGAAATTCGACGAAGTCTCGAGCGGGTTCGTGCCCTCCCTGTCGAGTCCCCACCTATGTCTTTAATGCATGAGGGCCGTCCGATCCCTGCAACTGTCGTCACTTTGAGCTCCTCGGGCTTGACCTTGGAGGAATCATTGAGCGGGAATCTCGACGTGAGTGAATCGCGAGCGAATCTCGAGCGGGAACCCCTCCCTTGGGGCCCCCACCCTATGTTTTAATCCGAGGCGGGCATCGGAATAACTGGTAAAGAAACATAGATTTGCTCACACCTGGGAGCCTGCATCCTGAGGAAGTCTCGAACAGGAGCCTCGTTCCTGAGAAAACTGAAAGCATGTCTAGGGCGCTCGCCTGTAAGTGAATCCCGCCAGCCCTTTAGGGCGTCAGTGCTTTAGCGAGGTTCCTCTTCCATCTTCCCTCTTCCCTTTCGGGGACCTCCCCCTGGACCTGGACGGGGCGTTCCGCGAGGGGTTGGAGCGTTCAGGATGGCCTCGGCGAGAAAGCCAAAATCACTGACGCCACTCTGGTGTTACTAAGGCTTGGTCCACATGTTGGCCTCCTGGGGGGAGAGGGGGGGCAATTTATTATGGCCCATCCTTTGATCGATCTCCTCCATGATGACCCCCGGGAGCTCCCAAGGGTGCCCCAAGGCGCAACCAAGAGGTGCCCAGGAGGCCCCCAAGAGGCCCCCAAGACGCCCCCAAGATGCCTCCCACAAGCTCCCAAGATACACCCAAGAGACACCCAAGAGGCACCCCAGAGGCACCCACGACGCCCAAATATGCCCCCCTGGAACTGCCACGAAGCCTCCAAGACGCCCCAAGAGGACTCCAAGAAGCTCTCGAAAGACATCCGAAGAAACTCCGAGAAGAATCATGAGGCCTCTGGCCTTTCTGCTCGCCCTCTTCTTCCTCCTCCTCCTCCTCCTGCTCCTTCTCCTCCTCCTCCTCCTCCGTCTCCTCCTCATCCGCCCATTTCTCTTCCGTCCTTCTCCTTCGTCCTCCTTCCCTTCTACCTCCTCCATCCTCCCCCTCTTGGAAAATGACGTCTCACCCTTTGTGGGCCCCGGAAACGGCAGGGCCGTTTTTTCACCGCTTCCCCAAAACATGTCCCTTGAAAATGGAAACGGCAAAAAAACGGCGACAAGAAACGGCAAAAAAACGGCTCCAGGATTGGAACCGGAGCCGGAACCGGTCGAAAAACGGCGACGGAACCAATAAAAACGGCGTCGGAACCGGCAGCAAAAACGGCAAAACGGAACCGGAAAAAAACGGCCCTGTCCTTCCCAGGGCCCTAACCCTTTATTCCACTGCATGCTCCTCTCCTCCACATCCCTGACCAGGGCAACTCGTCTGGATGGGCTGGTGGGGTTACGCGAAGCGACTCGAATTGCGAAGAAGTCTCGAGCAGGACCCCCCTCCCTATGGGGTCCCCACCTCCCGTTTTTGATCCCAGCGGGCCATCTGGATACTGCAGCAAGCCAAGCTCTTGAGCACCCCAAGGGGGCAAATCGTGAGGATATTTGAAGCGGGAGCCTCGTCTGTGAGTGAAGAGCGAGGAAGCCTCGAGCGGGCGGAAGCCCTCTCCCTGTTGGGCCCCCGCTTCATGTTGTCAATCTCAGCGGAACACTGGCCTACTGTACCACGCAAACCACTTGAGCACCCCGAGGGGGGCAAATCGCGAAGATGTCTCGAGCGGGGGGCCTCGTCTGATAGTGAAATTGCGAAGAAGTCTCGGGCGGAAGTCGGGGGCGCACAGATTACACAGGTCCCACAATTCCAACAGGCTGAGCAAGACTCAAAGGGCCCACGGTTCCCAAAGGTCGCACGGGTCCAAACGGTCCGACACTTCACACCGGTCCCAAAGGCCCCACAGGTCCCACAAGTCCCACAGGCATCACAGGTCACACAAGGTCCAACAGGCCCCGCAGGTCGCACAAGTCCCACAAGCCCTGCAGGTCTCAAAAGCCCCGCGGGCCCCACAGGCCTCAATGGTCTGTGAACTGTCGATGATGTTGACTTTTATGAGCACGAAAGAAGATTCTCACGCGGGGTCCTCGGAGTGTTTCAGGCCCCACCCAGCCGTGGCGACGAGGGGGCCCTGTTATCCCCTCTTTCTGCTAGCTGGAAACTTGAGCCATCCCCAGGGCCCCAGATGGCTCCAAGTTCCCCCCTTGACCCCAAGCCCTGAGGGGCAACGATGAGGGGGGGACTGGCACAGGGGGGAACACCGACAGATCGGCGGTCGGCCCCCGATAACACATCCACGCCTTCCTGGGCGGGGCGGGGCTATCAGACCCCTTCTCGGCGATCCATGGGGGATTGGGGGTCGATGCGTCCCTCCCTATCCCTATTCCCCCCTATCGCTGCCCCTGGGCCACGGGCCACGCGCGCGCGCTGAGCCCTCCGAGGCACCTGGGCGCGGCACGCGGCAGAGCCCGCGCGGAACCCTGCGCGCGGCCCGCTCAGAGCAGCCGCTCGGCCGCCCCGGACGGCCCCCTGGGCCAGCGAGCACGTCCCCAGACGTCACCACCACCCGCGCGACGCACCAGGTCGGGGGGTGAGAAACCCAGAGACACGAGATCCGAGGATATGACTCGTTCAATCCGGCGTTTTTTCTTGGATTTTAACCTCCAGGGCCCGTTTATCAGGCCTCAGGGTCATCAAGCATGCATCAATAATGGATCCGGGGCGAAAAACTTGCCACGGGGAAGTGGTCGCGACCGCTGAGGCGACGGATTGAAAATATCATGTCGACGGATGTCTGGGAAGGTATGCCTGGCCAGAGGTGCCCCCCGGCTTTTCGCTCCATTTCGAAGCCCCTGGGCCACCCTGGGCCTCGTGAGGGGTGCTCTTGAGATCGTGGGGGCCTCCTTGGAAATCCTGGGGCGCCTTGGGCCAGGGGCACTTCTGGCAACACCCGACCAACTAGGGCTCCCAACTTCGCGCTTCGCGCTCCGCGAAGCGCGAATAACTTCGCGCCCTCGCGCCGCCCCCCCAAAGGGAGAAAAGGAGGACGAGGAGGAGGGGGAAAAGGAACGAGGACCGCGAAGCGCGAAGCGCGAATAACTTCGCGCCCTCGTGGGAGCCCTTGACCAATGGGGGGGTCCTCCTGGTGGTGTGGTCCTCTTCCCACTCGACGCCCTGTCCCCGGCGGCGGCCGGCCCAGAGGGGGAAATGAAAGGTGGCGGGCCTTCTGAGAAGGCTCGGGCGTCCCCTGGCCTTCTGAGCAGTTTTCTAATCCTTCCCCGAAGATGCAGACAACTTCTCAGAGGGCACGAGTGCTCCTGAGACGCCCCGCCGCCTTCCAAGAGAAGGCCTTTTCCTTCTCACTCTTCCCCCTTGCTCGCCGCCGAGAGAAGGCATAGTTTCTCCCCTCGACCATCGAGTCCGCGAGGGATCGGGCGGCTGCCGCGCCAGGGCGACCGCCAAGCCTGCCGAGAGGCCGTCGGCCTCCGCCTCTGCGGCCTCCGCCAAGCCTCCCGAGAGGCCGTCGCCGCGGGCTGTGCGCCCAGCGAGCGGCGCGGCTGGGCACTCGGCGCCTCCGCCGCCGCTGGCCAGCGGCCGCTCTCGCTACGAGCGGCGAGCGGCGAACTTATCCGTATCCGCGCCTTCGCGGTCTGGACTTCAAGGCGCGATCCCGCGGATAGGCGGTCGCACGGATGCGCCCCGCGCGGGGCATCCGCGAAGCAGCGCCCCGCAGCCGCGAGGTCTTGCGGCGGGGGGGAGGGCCTGGCCTGCGGAGCCGCGGATGCAGAGATGTCATTCGCCCATGACCTCGGGAACCGCCCAGCAGAGGCGCCGCATCTCCTGCGCGCTCTCCCCATGGCCAGGCGCGGGGCTACTCGTCGTCGGAGCTTTCCATGCCGTCGGGATTCTCCGCGCCGTCGGGGCGCTCCGCGCCCCCGTCTTCGGAGGAAGGCGGAGAGACGAGCGAGCGGTGGCCCTCCTCGAGGAGCAGGTCGCGGAGCCCCAGCGCGAGGGGCCACGGCCTGACCAGGGTGCCCACTGGGTGCAGGCCACGCCAAGATGGGTCCCAGCCCTGCTCCTCGCGCGGGCGCGGCCTGTTCTCGAATAGGCGCCCCAGCGCACCTGGCCGCCCGGGTTTGAACCCGTGTGTGGAGAGGGGGGGCTCGAAAAGGATACCTGCAGCCCCGCCACGCTGGAAGGAAACTTGGGGAGGAGATCGGATGCAACCTTATAGTTGTCGGGCATACGTAAATAGCAATGCACATGTGCATGTGCATGTACATGTGTATGCACGTGTATGTGTATATGTTCATGCGCATGTCTTTGTAATGACACACGTGCCTGTGCACTAATACCATACGTGAATGTATGTGCATGTGTATGTGTGCCGGTGTGTATGCGTGCGTACGTACGTACAACCATACATATCGATACATCGAAATAGCGCATGCGCATGTGCAGCACATACATGTGTTAGCCAACATGGGCCCAACACATTGTATCATTGCTGACATGTGTGGTGATGTCGATGACACAACTTATGTGGCGCAACATACGTGGAGCAATCTAGGTGGTACAACCAATGTGGTGCGAAGTAGGCTGGGCCATATATGCTGTGCAGTCAGCGATGTGTAGTATAGGTAATGAAAATTATGTGGTGCAACATATGCAAACCAATATGCAGCATAACTGGAGAAGCCCATGAGTGTGCAACCTATGTGGTGCAATTGATGTTGCACCGTCCACGCTGTGCGACACTTACACACATATATATATATATATATATATATATATATTATATTATATATTATATATATATGCATGTGTATATATATATATATGCGTACACACATATATGGTGCCATATGTGCGGTGCAGTCTGTGCTGCGCGAGGTACCACAATCTATTTGGAGTAATGTGCACAACTTATATTGCGCAAGATAATGGTGCGCTATATGTAACGTATTGTTGTTTGATTGTGTTTGTTTGCTATGTCTCGCTCTCTCTCTCTCGTTCTCTTTCTCTCTCTCTCTCTCGTTATCTCTGTGTGTATATATATATATATATATATATTCCAGCCTGCCCCGAGTGCAGTGTGCCGCAGCGCGCTGCCGCTACACGCCGGCGTCCACCCTTATAGCCGGCTGCCGTGCGAGCTCGGCTCATGCGTCCAAGACGGCACTCTGCCCCGTAGCTTGGCTCAGGAGCCTTCCGTGGAGTGCGCCGGAGGTCGTAGCAGCCAGGCTCAAGAGCCCTAGGTGGCACCTTCCCGCCAGCTCGGCTCAGGGGCCGCCGCCGCCGCCAGGGCGCCACGCAAGGACCCTGCCCGGTTCTGACCACAAGTGGTCGCGCCAGCTAGGCTCAGGAGCCCCAGGTGCGGGCAAGGACCCTGTGCCCCAGCTTTCGCCTGCGAGGCCGAGCCCTCAAGAGGACCCCAAGGGACCACCTGGAATGAACCACTCAGGAGTGACACACAACGGTGGGACCCAACACGAAGCCTAGGAATCAGAACTCCCAGACAACGTGGCACGCAGGTGGCGCCGCCTAACGCACATCCCACTCCCCCCGCCCGCCACCCCTAGCAGCGGCGGCGGCGGCGGCGCCACCCAACTCTCGGGCTAGGAGCGGACGTGGAGGGAGAGGAGGGTAGGCAGGGCAAGGAGGACTTTGGCCAACCGGTCCTGCTCCCAGTGTGGAAGCGAGGAACGAGCTACATCTGCCGTGACTGCGTCGATGTACTGCTTCGCCGTGCGAGCCTGCTGCCACCGGCCCAAAACCTGAGTCGCGTCGTAGCTCTGGTACGTGACGAAATGCCAGCTCGCAGCACCGCGACGCACACAATACGGCGTCAACCGATCGCGCTTGAAACCGAACTTCCCGCTGTAGTGAACCAGGCGGTCTTCCAAATCCCGCCAACCTCCTTGCAGAATGATATCCTCCGGGGGCAACATGGCGAGAGCGGCTTTGATGAATTTCAGTGCGCCCCTGTCGTAGATCTGAATGTGCTCGTCATCGTTATTCCTCTTCCCTGTTTTGGTCTCTTTCAAAGTTAAGACACACATGCCCGGAACGTCAAAAAAACGAAGTCCATGGGCCGCAATTGCGCATCTCGCTGGACCGTAACAGGCCGAGGAAACCTGCGAGAAGGGCAACAGCGAACCGGTAGTCCTCCGCCAATATGGTCGCGCCTGCAAGGCCCTGCGCGAGCTCATAATGAAGAGGTACAGCTCGGACACGATGAACAGCCCGACGCCAGTTGCGAACGTGCAGCCCCGATATGTCAAGGTGCCGCCGGCACTGCGGGAACAACCGCTTGAGCCCCGAAATGGCATCGTTCCCGTAATTCAGAGGCATGTCGTCCTGGTAGAGGTGGTTGATGCACTCGCTAAGCTCGTAATCGAAGTCAGACAGGGTGTTCGGCAAGGGAACGGACAACTCATGCAAGAACCGGAAGAATTTACGGACTTTTTTTCGGTAGCGATGCAAAGTGCCTGCTTGAACGCCTTCGTACTTTACGTGCTTCCTCGGCTTCACCGGGACTCTGTGGCGTCTACGTGCTCCCATGGGCATGCTCATAGACCCGGCCGGGGTTGTCCGCGTAGTTCCACCCGCTGAATGTCCAGACGGGGGTGCACGTAGTTGTCGCAGGCGAGACAATCGGCAGAAAACCGCCGACAGAGGCGGTTGAGGGCCCGGCTGCTGGTCCGGCCCTTCGTTACAATGCACGCTACCACACGGCGGTCGAAAACATGCCACATCCGAAGAGAATGAAAGCCTTTTGAATGAGTGTGAGACCTGTGCAAATTGAAAAATACAGCAAATTCCAAATTATTGATATGCTGAGGCGATGCCCACTTGTATGATTGGGTTGCTTCCCGCTCCCAAGCGAACGCCGGGTACGGGAGCTCCTGGGTGGAGTCGTCGCGAAGCACCTGGCTGCGCAGGATGGCGTCGCTGCCCCGGCTGTCTGCCGCCGCCAGCAGAGGTGCGAAATGCGCTCGTTCTTGCCCAGGCACCATTGTTTGAAGGAGCTTGAGAACCCCATCTTTGCCTGCGGAAGCCGGCGGCGAAGCATGCCAGGCCGGCCCAATGTTGGGCCGCCGCCTGGGACTACCGAGGAATGCCTAGCAGGGCGACAGTGCGAGCCAACATCATAAAACTTTTCGCCCTGGAGTGGCCCAAAAATCCAGCCACCCCGTCGAGCTCCCCGCCGAGGGTGACGCCAGAAGTGGCAAGCAAAAGCTGCTTTCTCGCGTGCAGGGGGGGGCCCAGCTTCGCGGCGACCTCCACAAGCTTGCGGTGCTCGTCCGACTCCAGGAACCCGTTGTCCTTCAGCTTCTCGGTAATGTGCTTGACCTTGCGGATGTAGTCGAACCCGTCCATGCATGCGACGGCCACGTTCCGGGGCGGCAGCCTCTGCTGGCGGTTGAGCTCCTCGCGGCGGTCTGTCCCCACCAGGCCGAACACGAAACGCCGGCCATGTTCTGCGTGATCTCGACAGCAAAAGATGCCCCCATCGGAACAGACCGCATGCAGACGAACACTTCCTTGTCGGGGTCCCCGCCGAAGGCCGATTGCGGCGCGCGCTTCGAGTGCGCGCGCGCAGTTTCCCTTCCAGCAGGGAGGGGGCTCGAACAAGTTGAAGCAACTTTCCATGTCCTTCGACTCCACCAAGAACACCTCGTTTGGCTCGAGCTGCGCGAACGTGAGCTGGCCCAGAAAAGGCAAGCACATAGCATCGCCGCGCGCTCTGCGGAGGTACGCGTTGAGGGGGGTGAATATGCAGATGAAGCGGAGCAGGGTTACCTCCTGGCCCTCGATTACCTCCACCTTGTCCACGCCCATCGCGCCCTGCAAAACCATCTGCCCGTTGCCGTCTGTAAACGCGCCCTGTTCTTCGACTTCCGAGAAAATCCCAAGCCGCGCGCCTGCCTTGACCAGTGAATGCCATTCATGGTCAGACGCGCGCACCTTCGACCTCGAAGGGCAAGGGGGCCACTCCGACCGCGGGAGAAGGCGCCGCTCCGGTCAGAGGAGATCGTCGCGGAGCTCTTCCGACACGAACTCCGCGACAGGGGGGGCGCATGCATGGCCCTGCCTCGGTCGGCGAGAGAGCCGATGTCGAAGGTGCCTGGCGGCCCGGCCAGCGCGTAGCCAACGGATTCTGCGACGTGCTGGAGCGCGAGCAGTTGAGCTGGCGAGAGCTCCGGCTCGTGCTCGATGCGCACGGGCGCTGCCGACCACCCAGCGCAGGTCAAGAAATTCAAAGCATCCACCGCGAACCGCGCAAGAGCGACGAAGTGCCGCTGCGCCTGGGCCGGTTCCTCTGAAGCGAGCGCTTCGAGGTGAGCCTCGGCTGCCTGAGGGTGGATGGGGGGGAGAACCCCGGGGCCGCCCGGCGAGGCGCCGAAAGCGGGGCAGGCTGGAAAATCCCCGTGTCCTCCGAGACACTCCCGCCCCCCACCCCCCTGGCTAAGCTGCAGCTCTTTTTTCGATTCGCCCAGCCCCCGGGCAAACTCCCCAAAACGGGTCGGGGGCTCCTGGGCGACAGCGACCAGGAGTGCGCCGGCGTCGGCCCCCGTCTCGCAGCCGGCGGCTGCCTCGCGGAGCTGGCGCTGCCAAGAAGCCAGCCCCTCGGGCCCTTCCGCTCCGGCGCTCAGCGGCCCTTGCCGCGGCCCTGCTTGCCCGGGTCCTTGCCCTTCCCAGAGGGTAGCGCGATCTACTTTATAGATCGTGATTTTCCAGATCTATAAAATAGATCTGGAATTAGGTTGGTTTGTATGTTCAAACAAATATTTAAGCAATAAATAGAACATCCGTGTATTTCTTTTGGTTCACAATATGTGATACATCCAACGTGAAATTCTGTGTTGTTTCCAAATGGCGTGCACATTTGTTGTGGCATACATGGTGTACGTGTTCACCCACCCAGCACAGCGCTTCGTGGCCCAATAGGAGCCCCACCGAAGCCCCAAGCGGGGCCGCCCGCGTGCGTCCCCCACGCCCAACTTGGCAGTTTCACCCACCCAGTACAACGCTTCGTGGCCCCATAGGGAAGTCCACCGAAGCCTCCAGCGGGACCGCCCGCATGCGCCCCCCACGCCCAAAGTGGCGCTGTCATGAAGACCGCGGCCATGTGGAACTGCGGCAAAATCAAAACGACGAGGAGGAGGAGGAGGAGGAGGACGAGGAGGAGGAAGAGGACGAGGAGGAGGAGGGGGAGGAGGAAAGGAGGAAAGAGAGGATAAGGACGAGGACGAGGAAAGGGAGGGGCAGGGGGGGGAGGAGAGAAGTGGGGGGGGCTGGGAGAGGACGAGGCGGAGCAGCATCATCAACAGTAGGATGATCGAGGAGAAGCACGAGCAGGAAGCGGAGGAACGGGGGCAGCGCATCATCCCGATCCCTCCTCATCGTTTGATTTCTGTTTGCTTCTCGTCCTCATCGCGTTCATGCTCTCATTATTGTCATTATTCCTCCTCCTGCCCCTCGCGCCGCCATTTGTCCGCTGTGACCCCCCAGACGTGAGACGATGCAAGTCACGAGCATGGAAACGATGAGGTGGGGAAGGGCATGAAACGATGATGAGCGCGGAAACGATGCTGATTCTGGCGCTCCGCGCGGCGGCCACAACGGCCGGTGCACAGTTCCGCGCGGAACGCTCACCTCCTCCTCCTCCTCCTCACCTCAGCCCTTAAGTGTTTAACGCCAGGGCCATAAAATAGTCATGGCTTCTCTCTCTTTGGGGCAAATAGCATCATATAGTGACATATAGTGTCTCTCAGTCGCTGCATGCACCTTTGCCGCGGACTGATCAACGGCAAAAAAACATCATCATCATCATCATCATCATCATCATCATCATCATCATCATCATCATCATCATCATCACCATCGCCATCCTCACCCGCCCCCCGCCCCCCTCCTCGTCCTCCCCTTCATCCTCCCCTTCCTCGTCGCCATCTTCCTCATTATCCTCCCCCTCCCCTCCTTATCCTCCTCCTCGTCCATTCCGTCCTCCCCCTCCTCCGCATTCCCCGCCCCCTTGTCCGATCGCCCTACCTCCTCCTCGTCCTTTCCGTCCTCCCCCTCCTCCGCATTCCCCGCCCCCTTGTCCGATCGCCCTACCTCCTCCTCGTCCTCCTCGTCTTCCTCCTCCTCCCCCTCCTCCTCCTCCCCCTCCTCCTCCTCCTCCCCCCCCCGCCCTCCTCCTCCTCGCGTCTTCGCCATTTTCCCTCCCCCCCCCCCACCCCCCCACCCCCCATGTCCGCTCCCTCCGCGCCCAGCGCCTCCTTTCCCCCCCCTCCCCTCCTCCTCCTCCTCCTCCTCCTCCTCCTCCTCCCTTTCCCCCTGGCCCCACTCCTCATTGTCCTCCTCGTCCTCCTCGTCCTCCGTCCTCGTCCTCCTCCTCCTCCTCCTCCTCCTCCTCCTCCTCCTCCTCTTCCTCTTTCTCCTCGTCCTCCCCCCCCATATCGTGCCCCTCCTCTTCCTCGTGGCAGAGGTGGGCGCGCTGCCCTCGCGACCCTCGGCGGCTCCGGTTGGTTGGCTCGTTTCATGCCTGGCTCGCTGTCTGACTAGCTGGTAGGGGCAGGCTTTGCGCGCTTGCTTGCTTGCCGACTGGATGGTATATGTTGACTGGCCTTCTGGCTCGACGGCTACCGCTGGTTTCGCTGAGTGGCCACCGGGGAAGAGCAGGCCCGCGGCACCGAGCGCGCGCGCACCACAAGACGGCCCATAAGCCCCCAAGAGGGCCCCAAGACGCCCCAAGAGGGCCCCTAGACAGACGGCCCCAGGGGCTCCCAGGACGGCCCAAGAGAGCTACAATACGGCCCTAAGAGGGACCCAAGAGGAGGAATACGCACGGACATTTCGAGCATTTTTTTCCTCTAGATGACCCCAAGAGCCGCCCGAGAGGCCCCCGAGAGGCCCCAAGAGGCCCCCAAGAAACTCCACAGAAGCCCCCAAGAGGCCCCCAAGAGGTCCCCAAGAGGCCCCAAAGCGCGCTCCATATGCCCCCAAGAGCCTTCCAAAAAGCCCCTGAGAGGCATCCCGAGAGCCCCTCATATTCATCCAAGAAGCTCCTGACCCACTAGATAACTTCCACGATCGTCTCAAACTCTCACTCCTTCTGGGGGCCGGCGGAATGGCGTAGGCCACTTGAGTAAAATTACGTTTGGATTGAAAGGTAACTAAACCTCGCCACGTGCAATCGGGGCGGCTTCCCCAGGAACGCCGACCGTGCGATCACATGGCCGTCGGCCTCGCCGCCGCCAGGCCAGGGGGGGACTTTTGTCTCGCGGGCTCGAAGCTCTCCCGCCGAACAATCTGCTTAGACAAACCAAGTGCGCTCAAGCCCATGAAAATTGCAGCGCAGCGCTGCATTCACCCGCGTCACGCAAGGCCGCCGCGATGCCCTATCATCGCAGACTGCGCCTTACCTGAGGCCCGCGCAATTTCTCACGGCAGCCTTCGGCGCCTCAGTCCTGGTTGCTCAGCAAACCTGGGTCGTCGAAGAGGTCGGCGGCAGTGCGCTGGGCTGCGGCCGTGGCCTCCGCGGCCTCCGCCGCCCCTTGAGACTCCGGCGCCACGGCCCCCTCCCGTGCGCCCTTGCCCAGGCTGTCCTTGAGGCCGCCCTTGCTCTCCAGGGATACATGCTCCGGGCTGTAGTCGTGCTTGGTGTCTTTTGCGCTTCCGTTTAGCAGCATGACCTTCACCTTCCTCGTGGCGACTCCCGGGTGCGACACCACCTTGCCCCGGACCCCGTCGTACTTGTCCTTGTACCTGGCGGACTTCCCGATGACGATGGAGCCGACGGGGAACCGCTCCTCGATCGACAAAGGCGAAGACTTGCTGCCGCCCCCCGCCTTCCCGAGGGTCTCCGCGGGCTGCTCGCCAGCGGCCGGTTCCGCCGCCGCGCCTTTGCCGCCGGCCGGGGCCGATGCCGGTTCCTTCCCCGCCTCCCCGCCGCCAGCGGCACCTTCGCTCGCCTTGATCTCGGGCACGGCCAGGCCGACCCCGGGCGCCGCGGACTCTGCCTTGGCAGCAGTCGCCTTCGCATGGCGATCGCGGAGCACGCTGCCCGTGCGGCTGGGCAAGTCGCCGTCCGGCACCTTCGCCCAGATCGGCGCGATGACTGCTGCTGCTGCCGAACGGACCGCGTCGTCCATGACCGGGGAGTTCAGCTTGCCGCCATTCTCCTGCGTCGCCGCCGAGCCCTTCTCGCCGTTGAGCTTCATCGCGCACGCCTCCGACATGAGGTCCTTGAGCAGCGCGGCGCCCGACCCCCCTTCTGCAACTTGGAATATGCGATGATGAGCGTCTTTGCCACGGGGTGCAGCGCCTCCACCAACGCCTCCACGTCGACCACCGACTTGGAGATCTCCGCGGCGAGAGCGACCATGCCCTCCGAGCCCAGCGTCCGCGGCGACCCCTTCATTGCGCAGTGCTGCAGCCCCAGAAAGGGAGAATCGGAATCCCACGCCGCGAAGCTGTCCCACACCGCGCCCTGGTCCTTGGCCTTCACCGCGTACAGCAATTTGGCATGCAGGGGCATCTTGGGGTTCGTCCACGTCCGCCCGAAGGCCACCAAATCCTGCTCCGTCTTCGTCAGCTCCTCCACGACGTTGCCGAGGGCGGAGAGACGCGCGAACTGCGCGCCGGTGTCTTTCAGCTCCAACACTGCCTCGATCTCGCGGGTAGCCCGGCGCCGCATGAATTGCTTGTACAGGGCGCCATCAACGTACTCGGTCTTCCTGTGCATGCCGAGCGCCCCGAAGTTCAACTCAGTGGACTTCGCGTAGTCCCAACTCTCGATGCTCTTGAGTAGTGCCAACTCATCAGGCAGAAACCGCACCTTCTTGACCACGGTCTTCATCGTGTCGTAGTGGCGCAAGAGCGCGGGCAGGTCGTCCAAGCAGGGCGTATCCAAGATGCGCCTCGCCACGGCCTGCAAGAACATGACCGCTGCCTCAGGCTCCTCGCCATCATTCCACTTGGCCTGTTTCACGTGGTCGACGAACATGTTCAAGCAGAAGTCCACGGTCCACGGGGTCAACTGATCGGCGGCAACCATGTTCCCGGCCTTACAAGCTGCTTTCACTCGTGAAATGAGGTCGCACAAGCTGGCCTTCACCGCCGCGGGCCCTTCCTCTGACGGGTGCTCCGCGAGCTCGCGGCGAGCCGCCTTCGGCGGAGGAGCCCCCGACGCCTGCTCTGCGGCAAGCCGCTTGTCGCCGCTGCCACGGGCCGCCGGCTGGCGATTCGCCTCGTCGGGGGTTGCTTTGTGCTCCTCGGCGGCGGCGGCCGTGATCGCCAGCATGGGCCCGCCTGCGATCGCAGGCCGCTGCGGTGCTTCACCTGGGGTCCAAGTCTCGTTCACAGGACAATTCCACCGACTCGACGTCATCATGCCCCAGACGGCGCCGCTCCACCCCGGAACTCAGGATCACGTGCGTGTTCAAGTTGATCCCCCCGGGGATCCTCAGGGACTCTGGCGGGCAGAAGGCTTCAGCCTCGATGTTCGCCAAGCTGCTGTTGGTCTTGGGGACGAGCCAGTACCACTTGGCACGCTTCGCCACCACGGTAACTTTCGACACCAGGTTCCCCAGGAGCTGCGGGGTTACCCTCGGCTTCACGTTCGGTTGGTTCGCTCGCTTCACCATGGACACAGCGACGTAGAGGCGGGCCATTTCGTCCACGGCCCTGGGCCATCCACAAGCGGGCGGCTTCAGCTTCCCAACATCAGTCTCCGCCGACAGCGCTTGCTCGGGGGTCACGGTGGCAAGCGCCTCCTGGACGTCGAGGGGGTCCACTTGGGGAGCGGTTGGCATTGCAGTTCTTTGGCGCCGCGAGCCTCTGTTACCGCACCGTGTGAAAGCAACGCCCTCTTGACTAGCAGGCTCGAGCCGAAAAATCATGATGATGATGATTGTAATGGTGACGGCTACGACGATACCAACGCAGCGGACCCCTAAGGCCCTGACCCCGAGACCGGTGAGGCGCTGAAGCAATTGAGGCCTCTATGAGACCTCTGAGACACCTGAGACCCTCTGAAGCCCCCGAGGCCGCAGACCCCTGAGACACTCGAGCCCCTCTGAGACCCTACGGCGCCGAAGCGCTCGAGCACATGAGGCCCTCAGACCCTGAGACCCACGAGGCCCTCAGACCCTGAAGCCCCCGAGACCCTGACACGCTGATGCCCTTGAGACCTCAATGAGACCCAATGAAACCCTTGAAACCCTCTGAGGCCCCCGAGACCGCTGAGGCCCCTGAGAAACTCGACAACCTCTGATACCCTTACGGCCCTGAGACCCCCGAGGCCACGAGGGTACCCTGAGACCCCGAGGCATTGAAACGCTGACGCCCTCTGAGGCCCCTGAGACCGCCGAGGCACCTGAGACACTCGATACCCTTTGAAACCCCGACGGCCCTGACACCCCTGAGGCCATGAGAATCTTAGACCCTGGTTCCCCCGAGACCCGTGAGACATTTGAGATCCAGAGGCCCTGTGTGATACCTCGCTCGCTTGCGGGCCTGTCTGCCTGGCGCGCCAGCTTACGCGTCCAGCGCCGTGGCGACGAGACCCCGCCAGCGGCGACGAGGAGAGGGATGTGCACCCCACCCCACCCTCGGCCCGTCGCTCCGCGGCGAAACAGGCGGGGCCCGCCCTGCCACGCGCCCGCGACGACGACGACGACGACGACGACGACGACGACGACTCCGGCGGCGACGGCGGCGGCGGCGGCGGCGGCGACGACGACGACGACGACGACGACGACGACGACGACGACGACGACGACGACGACCACGAGGACGACGACGACGACGACGACGACGACGACGGCGGCGGCGTCTGGTGGCGCCGGCGGCGGGGGCATCCTCGCTCTGCCTCGCTCCGCGGCGAAAGAGGCGGGGCCCGCCCTGCCGCGCGCCCGCGACGACGCCGACGACGCCGGCGACCACGACGACGACGACGACGACGACTCCAGCGGCGGCGGCGGCGACGACGACCACGACGACGACGGCGGTCACGACGACGACGAAGACGACGACGAAGACGAAGACGACGACGACGACGACGACGACGACGACGACGACGGCGGCGACGACGACGACGACGACGACGACGACGACGACGACGACGACGACGACGGCGGCGGCGAAGGCGACGACGACGAAGACGACGACGACGACGACGACGACGACGACGACGACGACGACGGCTGCGGCGGCGGGGGCGGCGGCGGCGGCGGCGGCGGCTGTGGCGGCGGCTGGTGGCGCCGACGGCGGCGGCATCCTCGCCCCCTGTCGCTCCGCGGCAAAAGAGGCGGGGACCTCCTCCTCCCCCCCCTCCCCCTCCCCGCCCCCCTCCTCCTCCTCCTCCTCCTCCTCCTCCCCCTCCTCCTCTTCCTCCTCCTCCTCCTCCTCCTCCCCCTTCTCCTTCCCCCCCCGGCTCTCGGCTTGGCAGCGCGCCCAGAGCAGTAGCGCTCCGACGATCGCTGCAGGCCGTCAGGCGCAGGGTTCGGACGCCGGCGAGAGGGGCCGAGTGCGGCAGGGATTGGGGCGGGGGGGGGCGAACGCGCCAGGGCCGCTCGGAACGCCCCCTTGCTGGGTGGCGAGAATAAAATTACGTCGGCATGGAAAAGTAATTACACTGCCTCTGGGCTATTCCCGGTACCATTTAGGGCCCAAAAGGTGGCCCCGAGAGCCCCCCAGAAGCCCCCGAGGCGCCCCCGCAGAGGCCCCAAGAGGCCTCCAAGAAGCCCCGAAAAGGCCCTTGAGAAGCACTCGAGAGGCCCCTAAGAGCCCCCGAGGTGGCTCCAAGAGCCGTCCTAGAAGCCCCCTGCGAGGCACCCCAAGAGACCCACAGATGCATCTAACAGGCCCCTGACCCACAGCCCAGGGACACTATATGCCACTATATCACACTATATATCACTGTTTAACACTCTATATGACTCTAAATCGCACTATATGGTCTAAGAAGCGCTCGAGGGCTACATAACGAGGAATAGTGCTATATAGCGTTCAATAGTGATCGCAAGAGCGGCCCGTCGCTGCGCGCGGCGCACCGTCGCGGAAGCTTTTGAGCGCACTCGCTGGCTACACCCACGCAGCGATCAGGCAAGCAAGGCAACGCCGGACGGCTGGCGCCAGCGCGCAGGCTTGCACCACCCCAGAAACTGGACTAACTGCACAGTCTTGCACAACGTGAACTGCAACATCTCCACGCCTGGCGGCGGCATCATGGGAACAGCCACAGGGCCGCCCGCCGCGGCCACGCGGAAGCCGCCGCCGCCTACCGTCTGGCGCCCCCACAACTGGCGCACCGCGGCCAGGAGCTCCTCAAAGTTGAAGCCCCCGTACCCCAGCGACTCGAGCTCCTTCGCCCAAGCGAGGAAACTCTTCGGGTTGGGGCCGATGGTCTCCTCTGGCTTCATGTCCACATGCAAGCCTCGCCAAGCCGAGAGCCAGAGGGCGACGTGCCCCGACCGGAAAGGCTGACCGTACCCCCGGACCTGCCAGAGCACAGCTGCCGCCTCCGACGCCGTGGTGGCGGCGATGAGCTGCCCCACTCGCGCCTCGTCGTCCGCCAATTCCTTGATGGACTCCAGCAGGCGGCTGCAGAAGTACGAAGACGCGCTGGCCCCCAGCCTGGTCTCCGTGGTCGCGCCGTCGCCGAGCGCCGACAACTTGCACGCCTTCAAGTCGTCCTCCAGAGCCCTGATGCCATGGTGGGTGTACTCGTGGAGGCCCAACCGGCCATCGAAGTACGCCTTCTGCACCTCGTGCCCGCGGCCGGACGCCATGCACATCGCCGCCAAGGTCAGGCTGCTGTCGGTCGCGCCCGGGCGGCCCTCGAGCACCTTCATGGTCGCGACGAAATTACGGACGGGCGGGTCGTGCACGAAGTTGATGTTGCGCAGCTGGAACTTACGGACAAACACGTCCAGCGTCACGGCGTCCACCGTTGGCCAATTCGCAGAGCGCTGCTTCTTGGTCCAAGCCAGCTCGGCCAATGGAAAACGAGCGTGTCTCACTCGTTCGTATCCCGGGAACGGCTGCGACACAGCGACGGCATCGATGTCTACGTCGTGCTCCTTGGCCACTCGCGCCGTCTCGCGCAGAGTGATCAGGCCGGTCACTAAAGAAGCGAAGACATCAACAGGCTGTTGGCCCTTCTTGGCCATGGACAAGAATACGGGCACCAGCGGGTTGTGCGGCACAGGCTCCTTGAGGGCAGCGCGGAGGTTCGTGGCGCGCAGCCCATGGTTGCCGGACAGATGCGCGCGCGCGTCATCCGGAGACCGGAAGGTGCCGTCCCGCACGAGCTCCGCGATGTCGTCCATCGCAGACGGCCTGCCGCCGGCTGGGCCTGAGGACCGGCGCTTCATGATTGATTTGAGCCAAAATGGCGGGGGAAACCCTCCAACCAACTGAAGAATCCGAGACCACCCTCTAACCCTGGAGCTCACGGGGTCTATGAATCTGACCTTGACGGGAGGAGGGGGAGGAGGAGGAGGAAAAGGAGGAGGAGGAGGAGGAGGACGAGGAGGAGGACGAGGACGAGGAGGAGGAGGAGGAGGAAGAGGAGGAGGAAGGCGGCGACGACGACGACGAGAACGCGGAGCAGGACGGGGACGAGCAAAAGGAGGGACAGAAGGAAGGGGGAGTAAAATGGAAGCAAAAACGAGGAGGGAAGGAGCAGGCGACGAAAGGGGGAGGAAGGGGGAGGGGGAAGGAAGGAATGGGAGGGGAAGGAGAGGAACAAATGGAGGCGGAAGGAAGGCAAAGGGGATAATAAAGGATACAAGTCCAGCAGCCCCAACCGAACCCATAGGAACGGGAGGGGGCCGAATCGGCGAGAAGAGGACCCAGGATCTCCCGAGGCCCCGCGACTTGATCAACCCATAGGTCGATCTCGAGCGCAGCAGCGCAGCCAAGACGACTCCAAGACCCTATCCATACGACAGGGGGGCGGTAGGCGCCAGCCTGGAGCGGAAAACACCACAAAAGGGGTCCGAGAGCGACCTCCAAGGGCGACCGCCAGGGGCAGCCGCGAGCAGCCCTCACTCTGGGCGTGAGGGCTGCCCCTGGCCAACCTCGGTGTCCCCTCGAATCTCGGGCGGGCGGGGTTCCCCGCTTTTGGGGGCACGACCCGAACTCAGCCTCGTTACCATCATTCTGACATTCGAGAGAAGGGAGAAGAAAGGGAGGAAGGGAAGGGGGAGGGCGACCAAGATGGATGCAGAAGAACGAGGGTCGCCACTTTTCGAACGACAACTGGCGCACAGGGCTGGCAGAGATCTCCCGCGCGCCAGGACGGCCGGCATCCTCGTGAGGGTCGGTCAGAACCCCCCTCTGGTTGGGGTACCCTCCCCCCCAGTAAAATTACGTTCCCACTGCAAAGTAATTATACTCTAGATTGGTCTGTTTTGCACGACGGGCGGCTCCAAGATGGCCCCGAGACGGCTCCAAGATATCTCCATTTTGATGTCAGTTCGTTCTCCCAAACGTCCCCGATCAAGACCTCTCCAGTCGGAGTCGTTTTGAGATGCGCAGGCTGGGTTCGCGCGGGGTTGGGCGGGGAGGAGCTGGCGCAAGGAGAGGGGGCGGTTGCGGAAGGACAGAGCATCGTTTTCAAGCGAGGGCCTCGGGGGCCCACGCCTCGATCCACGCGTCAGCGTCTGCGTCCCCAGTGCGGCCGCCGTGCCCCAAGGCGGCTCACTCATCGCGCAGTTTCCCCAGCTCCAAGTCGAAGACGCGCCGACGATACGCAGAACCCTCTGCGAATCCTCTCTGCCTGGCGCGCCAGAGCGCCCAGGCGCGC